GTCTGGTCTACAGAACAAGTTCCAGGACAGGCTTCAAAGTTACACAGAGAAACCCTGTCTAAAAAAAAAATGGTAAGTTTAAGATAAGAGTTTCAGGATAACCAGGGCTATACAGAGAAACCATGTCTGATAAACAACAACAACAAAAAGAGAAAGCAACAACAAATTCTAATCTTGGTTGATTTTTTTTTCTTTCAAAATAGCATTCATCTTTTGTGAATGTGCATGTGTGTATTGGAACTCTTACGAGAAGCGTGTTCTACAGTTCAGCTTTTGTTTATTTTGGGTTTAAGAGCAAGACCTTACCTGAAAAAAATAAAATAGATTTTCTTTATCAAAGTGGGTCTTTTAAATAATCAGTCAATACCTAATCTCTGAAAAATTTCTTACGTTTTCTAGTCCTGTAATTTTGATATTACTACTAGGCCATATAAATGGAATGAAAGCAATATAGAACCTATCTGTAATAACAATAAATATAAATGGATTAAAATATTCCAACCGAAAGATAGATGAGATTTAAAATTTTTTTAAAGTATGATCTAACAATATGCTGTATACAAGAGATGGTTTACTTTCAGAAACACAAAGAAATTGAAAGCAAGAGAATGAAAGATGATACACCATGCATATAGTAACCAAAGGTACACTGAAGAGGATAGACCAGATTCTGACAAAATACACCTTATCGTAGAAATTGTTACTAGATACAAAGAAAGAAAACTCAACTGTTCACGATGATATAACATTTATAAATTAATGTCTACCTCACAATAAAAGCCCCAAAGAAGTAAAGCAGAAACTAACAATTTAAAAAAGGAGAAGGTCAGTAGGACTGGAGGTTGTTACTCATGTAGCCCATTCTGGCCTCAAACTTACTATGTAGCTGAGGCTGGCTTTGAACTCTTCCTTTCTGCTTCTACCACCCACATACTGAGATGACAGGCTTGTGAATTGATGGCAGTTTGTTCTTTTCTTTTGTTTGATTGTTTTTTTGAGACAGGGTCTCTCTATATAGCTCTGGCTATCCTGGAATTCACTGTGTAGACAAGACTGGCCATGTACTCAAAGAGGTCCATCTGCCTCAGCCTCTGCTTCTGTCCCGAGTGCTGGGTCTAAAGGTGTCTGTTACCATGCCAGGCCAGAACTTGCTTTCTAATGCTCTTTACCAAAAGGGAGTAACAGTCCTTGGATAAGTGACTAATTTTAGAGTTTAGAGTAGCAGAGTCTGAAACATTTTGTTTATGAGACAGCAAGAAAGTGTTCAAAGAATGATGAGAATTCATCAAAAGCATATCAAATCAAATGTGAACCAGTTTGGTCATCAAAAGAAGTAAGACAGGCTGGGCGGTGGTAGTGCTCACCTTTAATCCCAGAACTCAAGAGGCAGCTATAGGTACATCTCTGAGTTTGAGGCCAGCCTGGTCTATAGAACAAGTCCCAGGACATCCAGGACTACGCAGAGAAACCCTTTCTCAAAAAAATCAAAGCAACAGCAGCAACAAATTCTAATCTTTGTTGATTTTATTCTTTTAAAATATTGTATTTCATCTTTTGTAAGTGTGCATGTGTGTTGGAACTCTTATGAAAACATGTTCTACATTTCAGTTCTTTTGTTTATTTTGTGGTGTGTTGAGACAGAATCTTGCTATGTATCCCTTGCTGTTTGGATAGACTGTAATGGATTAATAAAAAATGCTGCAGGATCCCCACATCCCTGGTGGCTGCAGTAGCAGAAATGCTGTAAGTCCCCGAGTGGCAGCAGTCAGCAGTCCCAAGAGCTAGCAGTCCCAGGGAGGGATGGCACAGTTCCCCTAGTGGCTACAGCAGGCCATGAGGAGAGACAGACAGACAGGCATGCCACAAGACCACACCACAGTTTTCCCAAGGCAGCTGGTCCAGGCAGGGAGACATATGCTGGGCCGGAGAGAGACAGAGACATGGATAGGCACGCCATGCAGAGTAAGGTTGGATATTTATTTAGTGAGTTATGAAGGGGGAAGGGAGAAGAGCAGAAGGCTGAGAGAGAGAGAGAGAGAGAGAGAGAGAGAGAAAGAGAGAAGGGAGAGACATAAGCTGTCTCTTTGAGAGGGAGATGGGAAAGGAAGAAACTCAGGCTGCAAGCAGGAAGGAAGATCTGCCTGCCTCAGTGGAGGGTGGGAGGGAGTGGGTGTGACTTGTCTCTTAAAGAGACAGAACAGATCATTACATAGACCAGGCTGGACTCAAACTCATGGGTGATCGATCCTCTTGCTGCTGCATGTGGGTCCTGCATGAAAAAAAGTTGTGTTTTTGAAACAAGGCTTCATTATGTAACCCAGATAGTACTAAACTCACAGAAATCCTCCTGCTTCAGCCTTCTAAATTTTGGGATTACAGATCTGAGCTGTCACATCTGTCTTAATTCTTTAATTGTAAAATAGTACTGTTATAAAACTATAAATTTTTTATAATTTTCACATAAATTATAAAATGGACACAATGGCACATACCTCTAATCCTAGCACAGGGACAGCTGAGGCAGGAGGATTATTGTGTGTTTGGGGCTAGAACATGAAACCCTGCCTCAGAAGCAACAAAAGAGAAAGGAGGAGAAAAGATGGGAGCCTTTCTCAGCCCTCCATCTTTCACTTCAGATGTTGTCCTTGCTTCTCTTCATTTTCAAAGTTGCCGTCCTCTGTTTTTATTCTTTTCACTCTTAAAAACTTTAAAACAGGGGCTGGAGAGATGGCTCAGTGGTTAAGAGCACTGACTGCTCTTTCAGAGGACCCGGGTTCAATTCCCAGCACCCACATGGCAGCTCACAACTGTCTAAAGATCCAGTTGCAGGGGATCTGACACCTTTACACCAATGCATATAAAATAAAGTTAAATAGACCATAAAAAAAAAAGAATAAACAGTCTCTTAAAAAAAACCTTTAAAACAGCTGGGCGGTGGTGGCACATGCCTTTAATCCCAGCACTCAGGAGGCAGAGGCAGGCAGATCTCTGTGAGTTCGAGACCAGCCTGGTCTACAAGAGCTAGTTCCAGGACAGGCTCCAAAGCCACAGAGAAACCCTGTCTCGAAAAACAAAAACAAAAAAGAGAAAGAAAAGCCAAAAAACAAAACAAAAACTTTAAAACATATTTCTGTGAATTATACATGCAGGAAAAGTATGATTTTATTATTTTAGTGTGTGTGTGTATGTACCATAGTTGTGGGTGGAAGTCAGAGGACAACTTGTAGCAGTTGGTTCTCTCCTTCTGCCATGTGGTTTCTGGGGATTGAGCTCAGGTCATCAGGCTTAGCCGCTGTGCCTTTGCTTTGTTGATCACTTTGCTAGCCCTCCAAGCCTGTGTTAAGGACTGGAAAACAGAGAGGCTCCAGTGAAAAACTTGGATAATATACCTTTTAGATTTCATGATAAATGTGCACTGATACTCAACATATATGCATGTATACTTAAGTTTTTGTTTTATTTTTTAAGCTGGTCAAGGTGGTTTATGTCTGTATAACAGCAGCAAGTATCTTTACCTGCTGAGACGTCTTCCTGGCCCTTGTTTGTGATATTTTATGGAAGAATACTAGCAACAGGATTTATAACAGAATGAGAGAACTGCAGGGAGTTCTTCTGTGGCCTTGTTTTGTAGACAGCAGGCAAATATCTGCTAGGCGTGTGCTGGATCAGTAGGTGAATCACAGGTGCTTTGCAAAGAACAAGTGGCCTCTTTCTTGACTTCTGCAAGTTCTCGACACCCTCTGCTCTAAATAAAGCAGCCAGAGTGCCAATAGTGGAGCTGTCATTCAGTGAGCAAATACTTATTGAAAGCTTAACATGTACTGTATAGGGCTGGGCGCGGTAACCTTAACTTATACCCAACACTCTGGGGGACAAAGAGTTCAAAGCCATTTCTTGTGTTGGGTCCACAGATGGGGGAGGGAGTGTGGTGCAAAGATGGGGACAGATCACCAAAGTCTAGTAAACCAGAAGCAAACTATTGCAGGAAAAAGTAAAAAATTAAAAAAAAATAAATCTCCATGGGGCACAAAACAAAAAGCTTATCAGCTAGCTGAGACCACAGCCAGAGATGGACTTGTAAGGCTGTGACAAAGGCTGGTTTTTGACTCCTCCTTTTTATAGTAAGCATTAGGCAGTAACAAAGGAATTTTTACAACCTTGAGGTGAAATTTAGACACAAATTGCCCTTTTTGGCAATTTCCATTAACACTATTTTTCAGTTAAATTGGTGTTTGTATCTAGTCCACTGTTTTCCCTAGCGTTCCTTGACAGTGTTTACCAAGGCTCTGCACCTCCCCTGACACTGCCAGTTTTGCATAGCGGGAAAGGGTATGGAAAATAGAAAACGAAAAAAATCAAAAGTCATGGTTAACTCAGCTCACATCAGTTGCTGGTCATGAGTGGCCAGGGGTTTATCTAAAAGCTGACCCTCAGTTTGCAGAGCGACCCTAACTTTGCAGAGAGCCGCTTCAGCCTCTCAAACAGAGCTATGGGTTGTAAAGCGGAGTAACCCACTGTTAACAGTTAATCCTTAAGCTGCTGACAGCCTGCTCTCATTCTCCTAGGTCTACAACTTTATATTTTTTTATCTCTACATTCTTATTTCTGGAATCTACATTTCTATGTTCTTATTCTTGAATTCTTCCATTGTCCACATAGCAGATTCTAGGCCAGCCTGGACTACATGAGACTGTGTTGGAAAGGAACTGGGTATGGTGGTGCACACCTACAGTCTCAACATTTGAGAGTCAGAGAAGGTGGAGCTGGTCTTTATACTGAGTTGCAAGCCATGATGAGACCCTCTCTCAAAAAAAGTATTATATTCTGATCTATAATCTATATTCTGTTGCTATAATCTGATTTAATATTTCTGATTCTCAGGAGGTGACTTCTTACCAAGTCACCTTGAGAGAAACCAGTGGCATCTGCTGCCCTGGAGCGGGTTGTGTGGCCTCTGTGAACTTATTATCAACTGAACTCTTTCTGTTTTTGTTTTTCAGCTGGAAGAAGAAAGATCTGTACTCAATAATCAGTTGTTAGAAATGAAAAAGAGGTAGGCTCTCTGTATGTTTACTGATGTGTGTGTTTAATAAGGAAAACTTCAGAATGTGTTGTGTGTGCTAATTTTCAGAAAACAGTCAGCTTCATATATTTAGAAAGTGGCATTGTGGTATTTTAGTGCTCACAATTGACAGGTTATGAAGATCCATTTGTGCAAGTTTCAAAAATTTAAAATTTTAAGCCATTTTTTACTGCATTTACTCAGAAGTGCTCTACTAAATTTAGATTGCCTCATATTAATAGTTTTAGTAATGAGCATTATTATAATAGTATTTATAGTAATCACTTTAGATATAATACTGATTTTAATTATGGGAAAGCTTGATTTTTTTTATTAATAAGTAATACCACTTTGTTTCTATTATTCATTATCCCTCCATAGTATTTTATAACTTCCCAAACTCTTGTGAGTAAAGATAAATGGGGTCCATAGAAATGAAATATTTAGGCCAGGTCAGAGTAAAATATGCCTATATTCTATCACTCAGGAGACTGAGTCTGGAAGATCATACAGTTGACTCCAACATTGCAAAATCCTGCTTTAAAAAAACTAAAATAAGAGCTGGGCAGTGGTAGAGCACGCCTTTAATGTCAGCACTTGGGAGGGAAAGGCAGGTGATCTCTGAGTTCGAGGCCAGCCTGGTCTACAGAGTTCCAGGATAGCCAGGGCTATATAATGAGATCCCATCACAAATAAATAACTTAATTAGGTAATTAAAATAATTTAGGGTCTAAGAATATGGCTCAGCAATAGAGAGCTTGGTTCACATGTATGAGCTCCTGTGTTCATCCCCACACCAAAAACAAACAACAAAACCATCTATAATCTTTGGGAGTAAGAGAATCAGTAGTTCAGTGTCATCCTCAAATACATACCAGGTTTGAGGCCCTGTGCTTTAAAAAAAAGAACAGAGGAAAGAGATTTCCCACGCTCTAAGGAAGTGTTTTTCATGTCAGAACAGAGGTTTCCCTGCCCTTCTGGTGTCTGACAGATGTGCTTGGGAATTCAGGGTTTTATTTAGCCTGCAAAAACATTTGGATTGTGCAATGTAGATTGCTGAATTTTCGAAGCTGTCAGGCCTTGTCCCAAGGCAAGCCTTTCCCTTCTCTCTGGCTTAATTAAGAAGTACTTCACCAGGTGGTGGTTGCTCACATCTTTAATCCTAGCACTCTGGGAGGCCGAGGCCAGCAGAACTCTGTGAGTTCAAGGCCAGCCTGGTCTACTGAGTTTATTTCAGGACAGCCAGGACTACACAGTGAAATCCTGTCTCAAACACACACGCACAGAGAAATACTTGGACTCCTTTGTTGAGTTTCTCCAAGATCTTTACATCCAGACTGCACAAGTGTCTCACCACGGCCATGCTTATCCTGGACAGAAAAATAATGAGGCCTTATTCCTGTAACTTTCTCAAATGGAGACAAATGAATGAAAATGGGCTGATGTAATATGCAATCCCTTTACATTTAACAACACTTTTTAATTCACAAATCTGTATAATCTCAAAACATCTCAGTGGAAGATGTGGTGGGGTGTTCATTTTTTGAGGATGAGGCAGAAGCCCCCAGACCAGACCTTAGCTAAGCATTCAGGCCCATGAGTTACATGTGCAGGCATGAGACCCAGAACTTCAGGTTTCTGTGTTCTTTCCCATACCTTGTATTTATTACTGACTCGTGAAAGATTGTATACCTGGCTCCTTACTTATCGTGTGACTGACTTAATTATGTTTAACAAAGTGTCTCTCAAAAATTGCTCCTAATTTAAGCCATACCAGTATCTACTGGGGAGGCTGAGTGAGGTGAGAGGGTCACAAATTCAAGGATAGCCCTAAGCAATTTAATGAGATCTGTCAGGAAGTGCAAGCTCTAGAAGGCTCCACAGAGTCAGTGGTAGGATACTTGCCCACACATGGAGGCCCCAGTTTCAGTCTCCTGCCACCAAAGCCAAACACTGAAGTTACTCCTGCTATTTTTTTTTTCGTTTGGTTTTTTTGAGACAGGGTTTCTCTGTAGCTTTGGAGCCTGTTCTAGAACTAGCTCTTGTAGACCAGGCTGGCCTCGAACTCACAGAGATCCGCTTGCCTCTGCCTCCCAAGTGCTGGGATTAAAGGCGTGTACCACCACCGCCAGGCCACTCCTGCTAATTTTGATGAACAAAGAGAATAATTTTTCTGAAATTGAAAAAGTTATAATTAATTTCTGTATTTAAACTGATTTTCTCTTGTTAATCAACCCTCATGGACAATTGTTTCTGTTTTGGAAGACTGAATTTGAATGTATTTTAAAATAACAAGTTAGATCCATAAATACCTCCCAAACGTAAATTTGATTAGGCTTCTTCTGTGATGTATGCTGTGATGGCTAACTCTGTCTACTCTGCCTGGAGGACTAAAGTTGTATATGATCTTGGCATAAATACCTTCCAAAAGCTTAAGTCATAAAAGCACACAAATGTCCTTTGTTGATGCAGAGTAATAGCCCTGTCTTTGATTCACATTAGAAGGGAAGGCAGGAAATGACTTTCTCCATGGCCATGATAGGAGCTTGCAGGACCCCAGCATCAGGTGGAGCAGTCACTGAGGAGTCAGTGTGAGTGCCCCAGCCCAGCTGGTGTAAGGTCCTGGTTTCTATACAGCACCTCCCACACTAGGAAAAAGCCTTCTGTGGTTCTGAGGATCTCAAAACTGATCTGCACCAAACTGTAAATTTAAATTGTAAGCTAAAGGCTTGTGAGGTGACTCAGTGGGTGAGAGGACTTACCACCAAGCCTGACAACCTGAGTTTGATCCTCCAGACTCATGTGGGAAAAGGAAAGAACTAATTCCAGCCAGTTGTTCTTTGACCTGCACACCCATAGTATGCACACCTACACACATGTACGTAATAGTGAATGACGAGTTAATGAATAAATAGAATAACTTTAAATTATAAACTTCGCATGGTAGAATATGCCTGTAATCCCAGCACTTGCGGGTAGAAGGCCAACCTGGCTGCGTGAGACTATCTTGAAGAGATCAGCAGTGTCCTCCCGTATGTGCTTCGTGGTTTTGGTATCTGTAGACATTGTATCGCAGGCAATATGTAGTGAACATTTTTCTCTGAATTTAAAACTATTATCATTTGAAAAATTGGGTACAGTTGAACACACATCTTTAAGAACAGGTTCCAGGCAGTGTATTGTCTCACACCTTTAATCCCAGCACTAGGGAGACAAAGGCAGGAGGATCTTTTCCAAGTTCAAACCCAGGCTAGTCTACACAGTAAGTTTCAGGCCAGTCAGGGTTACATAGTGACCCTGTCTTCAAACCAAACAAAAACAGGAGAGGGGGAAACAGGTTCCCAGGGATCTAGCTGGTAAGGCACAGTTGTCTCACTGCTGAACTGGAGACCCCTGCTCCTGCACAGCTGCCCAGGCTGATGCACCCTGGGGAGCTAGCTTGGCTCTCTTTTTGCTCTGAGCTTTTTAATGTCAAACAAGAAACAGCAAAGCCAAAGTTTTAGATATGGGTTTATGGGGAGGGTCTTAATTCAACCAGTAGTTCAGAATGTAAGCCCTGTGAGGAATGCAAGTACTGCCTCCACTTCTGAAGCGGCCTGCGCTGCCCAGCTCATCAGCTCCCTGTGGGTTGTAACTGTCTGACTGTCTCCGAGCTTGCGCTACTTACCAGTGCTCACCTCATCCTCTCTTTTCCCTTTCCTACTCTTGCTTCCTTTGCTATATCTGTGTGTCTTTCATGGTAAGACTAAAGAAAGTCTATCCACGTTATAATAAATAAATCTCATATATTTTTAGTAAACCAAATTGTTGTATATATTTTTGGCTGCTGTTGTCCCTCTGTGTCTTGCTTTTGTTTTGTAAAATATGCTCAGCAATGTATGCACACACACACACACATACACACACCTACACACTCACACTTAGACATGCACTTCTTTTTGATATTGACATACAGCAAAGAACTTGGGTACAAATTTAGTTCTCCTTACTGTATTTGCATTTTTCTTCATGTTTCTAATATTTGGTTCTTATCACCTTGCATTTTAAAGCCTGCCCAGTAACACTTTAAGGTACTTGCTTCATTACTGGACTTTATTTCTTATTTAAGTAGTAAGAGAAGAATCTGAGCGACACGTTCCCTTGAGGGATGGGACAAGAGATTCTGGACCTGAAGCCCTTCTTTCATACTGTTATCTTCCCTTCTTGCTATTGGCAGTATGAGGAAACCCTTCTAGCCAACATGGCTTCTCATACATCAGTAATGTTGGCATAGATGCTTTAATTCAGCCCCTCTTAGTTTGTACAGAGGAATTAGGGCATAGAAATTGTCACACTGAAGCCACCACTGAAGATCTGTCACAGAGGCGAACTGCCAAGCCTCTGTGCCCTGTCATCTGGTAGATCTCCTGCTTTCTTTCTTTCTTCCTCTTTCTTTTCCTTTTTTTCCTTTTAACACATACTGTGTGTTGGGGGTGGGGGAGGATTCTTACCATGTGGCTTTTCAGGATCAAACTGATCAGACTTGGTGGCAGTGACTTTACCACTGAGCCATCTCTTTCTTTCTTCAGCATGTGTCCTTTGCTTGATTTTTATAGGAAACATCTTAACAAGCTGCATGGCTCAGGGTTGGGTTGGTGACTTTTCTGCTGGTTACTGGTGACTGCCCCTCCCTGATGCTAAGTGCCCGTGGGATCTTAGCTGACTAGGTCTTTGAACACAGGAGAATTCACATCTGTCTTCAACAAACCCTAGTCCTGCTAATTTTTAGAAAGTTAAAACTTTAAAAAAAATTTAAAATCTGAGTGCTACTTGAAATAAAGCTCTAGAATTCATTCTCTCTCTCTCTCTCTCTCTCTCTCTCTCTCTCGACAGGGTTTCTCTGTAGCTTTAGAGCATGTCCTGGAACTAACTCTTGTAGACCAGGCTGGCCTGGAACTCTAAGAGATCCTCACAACTCTGCCTCCTGAGTGCTGGGATTAAAGGCGTGAACCACCACCGGCTCAGAATTCATTTTTCCAAGAGAACAAAATACTAACTATGTTTCCTAGAAATCCAAGGAGCCCAGATTTACTGCATCTCTAGGTGGCACCAGAGCTTTGCTTTCCACATTGCAAAAGTGCATGTTTGCCCCTCCCACTCCAGAAGCCCTGCCTTCGCTCTCAGATGCCCAGTTTCCTAGCTCACCCAGGACTTGGCAGCACCGATGCCCCTGTCTTCCCAGAGTTACTAATTTAGAACACTTCTGGAAAGTCTCAGATTCTTCTCCTACTACTTATCATTCTGGAGTGTAAAGGTGTAAGCCACACAATGAGATCAATATAACACGTTTATTTCCATCTTCGTGTAGAATTTCAGTTTGCCATGAGCCATGAGAATTTTGTAATTCATGTGCCGGATACCTTGGGTCTCACTAACCAGCCGTTCCTCTGCCATCTCTAACTTGGCCCTCCCTGTCCTATTCCCCCAGGTGATTTGAAAACAGACCAAATGCTGCTTGCTCTGCATTCACTCACCTGCCTGCTTCTCCTAGACCCACTCGGTTCCTAGTTACAAACTCTTGCCGGTGACCGTCTCCACGGGTGCAGTGTCTGAGATTGTGTGGCCTGAGCGCTGGCCTGAGACACTTTCCTCTTGTTTTGTTTTCCCTGAAGTAATTTGGTGACACAAGATCTGGTTATTAAAGATTAAGAACTTTTAATTTTAAAAATTTTAGGTTTGTAAAAGAGTTCTAAAGGTAGTGTAGCCAGTTCATGTCCCTAGTCAGCTGCCCACTATGAACATGTCACAGCCTCAGCACCGTGCCCAAACCACTCGGCCCTCTGCAGCTGTCCAGCACAGTCATTTCTCTCATCCAGGATCCAGGCTGGGAGTAACACTGCGCTCGTGTGGTCCTGTCTCTGCAGATCTGACCGTCCCTCACTAAGTCCTGCCTTTCATAACTCAGCATGTTCGTATTTCACAGCACACCTTCAAATACACATGCACATCATACATGTACACACCCTACCTGCCCTCCTTTGGAGCTGACTCCTTATGCCCAGCCTCTTTGTGTCCCCCTCATCCCTTTCCTCCCTCAACCTGGGCTCCACAGTGGACATTCTCCAGAGGCCTCTCCTGCCCTCTAGTGAGCCAGCAGAAAACAGGAGCTCGGCTCTGTGAAACCCCTCACTTCTCTGTTTTACCCCTAGCCTTTCTGCGGTTCAGTTCTAAAAGCAGCCCTGTGTCTTCTTCAGATTGGTTGAAAAGCAGTTATCTTTCAGTTTGAATAATATTTATCTTTGCTACTGTTTTGGCTCACACAATCTTAAAAACACAACCTCAGAACTTACTAAAAAGTTACTGAAATTAGTGAGAACCAACCGATACTTCCAGCATCAGACTGCTCTGCATGACATCTGTAATTGCTTTGCATGTATGTATTTTAATTGTCATTGCTTGGTAATTATTTATTCCAGAAGTAACAGTATTCAAGGTGGGGTTCTATATTGCTGTAATTTTTTGGGGGGTGGTACAACAGTTTTTAAAAGACCTACCTCTTCCAACAGTATTAACTTGTCTTTTTGAGTTCAAATGGACACAATGACATGCAGGTTCTGCATGCCTGTGCATAGCTAAACCTTTTCTCCCTCGCAGTAAGTAAAATTTACAGGCATAACAGCCTTGATCCCTATGCAACTTCCCTGCTACACCTTTTTTTACAATGTAAACTAAAGTTACTCTCAAGTCTGTTCTGAAACAGTTGCTTGCTGACCACTCCCTCCATTGATTTCTGGAACTCTTTTAACTCTCTGGTCTTTAGAGAATCTGAGTACATAAAGGACGCTGATGAAGAGAAAGCGTCCCTGCAGAGGTCCATCAGTCTCACCAGTGCCTTACTCACAGAGAAGGATGCCGAGCTGGAGAAGCTGCGGAGTGAGGTAGGGTGCTGTGGGTCTGGTCTGCCACGGTGCTGTGGGGTCGCCATGATCCGCCCCTCCTCCCGTCCTGAGCCCAACGTCTGTGTTGCAGGTCACAGTGCTCCGGGGAGAGAATGCCTCTGCCAAGTCCCTGCATTCAGTTGTGCAGACACTGGAGTCTGATAAGGTGAAGCTTGAGCTCAAGGTCAAGAACTTGGAGCTTCAACTCAAAGAGAACAAGAGGCAGCTCAGCAGCTCCTCAGGTAAAAGGATGCCCAGTAGCATTTTAGGACATCCTAAAATGTGTGCCTTCTCCAGGGGCCTTTTCCCAGTAGAGGTGCCCCCAGCTCTCCCACTGTTGAATCAAACAAGGGCTTAGCATGGAGTCTTCTCGTATGAAGCAGTACATGACGGCCGCCATCATACAGTGCAAGGCAACAAAGAAGAATGAAGAACACTGCATCCTTAAAATCAGGCACCTGTACCCCATAGGTGGTCATCTTGAGAAAGAACCCTGAAAGGGCATCTGTGAGACCCAGTAGTAGCCAGAGAGCAGGCAGGGACTTCACTGTTCTCAGAGACACTTGAAAATGAGTGTCCCCTGGCAGCCCATCACTGCAGCAACAAGGAACTGACTTGCAGTATTTTCCAGTGACCCCTCTGATTGTTCTTGTTCTTGTTTTTAAATATAAGGCAATACCGATACCCAGGCAGAAGAGGATGAGAGAGCCCAGGAGAGTCAGGTAATGCTCCTCTATTAGTGCTTCTGTTGCCTTCCTGTCTTCAAAATCATTAGATATCTTGAGAGCGTAATGCATTCCTATAGACTGAGTGCTGAAAGTTTAGAATGCATTCAGTAAAAAGTTTTCCAGTTCCTGCTGTTCAGTTTCCCAAGTCCCTGACACTGTTACCCACATCTTACCTCTGCAGATTTTTTTTGTTTTGTTTTAATATACAGCTAGATGTAGTATGTGACAGCATATACCTATAGCTCTAGCACTTGGAAGACTGAGATGAGAGGTCATTGGAACCATGGAGTTTGAGACCAGCCTATGTAACACAACACCAACACACACACACTTAAATATACAATCTCCTCTGTTTTAACATTCCCCCCCCCCTTTTTTTTTTTTTTTTTTTTTTTGGTGTTTTGAGACAGGAATTCTCTGTAGCCCTGGAACTTGCTCTGTAGACCGGGCTGACCTTGAACTCACAGAGATAACACTTGCCTTTGCCTCCAATTGCTGGGATGAAAGGCCTGTACCACCACCATCTGGCTCCCCCCCCACACACACACACTTTTAAAGACAGTTTCTTGTAGCCTTAATTAGCCTTGAACTTTTGGTGCTTCTCCTACCCCGCTTCCCAATTGCTGGACCACAAGTGTGCAACACCAGCACAGCTGGCTCCCTCTGCAATTTTGTGTGTGTGTTTTAACATAAGTAGTAATAGACCACATAAGTCACTCTGTGCTTACTCTTTCTTTAGCTGTATAGTATTCCAGCGTTTGAATGTACCATAATCTAGTCAGTTCCCTTTTAGTGACAGGACACTGCGATTGTTCTGAGCTGAGGGTGTACCGTAGACAGCTATCAGACTCAAGCTGACTCAGAATTAACTTTGTCTGTTAGTGTGTCTCACAGGCATAGTACAGAATTAACATTGTTTTCTCTCCTTCTTTCCCCCGTTTCCTTTCTGCTTCCGTTTGTTTCTGCTGCTGCCGCCAACACTTTTCTTCCCATCAGCAAATGGTTTGTTTTATGCTTCCTTATTTGTGTACACATGTACGTGTGATCGTGTGTATGGTTTCCTTGGCCTTGCAGCAGAGCTCCTAATAGAATGATTTAGAAGATGCAACTTGGAAGACGTGTGGGACTGGGGAGATGGCTCAGTGGTTAAGAGCAGCAGTTCCTCTGAGACAAAAACCAGGTTCAGTTTCAAGCACTCACATGGTGATCCACATCATCTTTAGCTTCAATTCCGGGGAATCCAGTGACCCCTCCTGACCGCCGCAGGCCACACAGGCACACCACGCACACATATAAAATAATCTAGAATTAAAGAAAGTCAGGTGTGTGGTAATACACCCAGTACTCAAGAGGCAGAGACAGGGAGATCTCATTAGTCTGAAGCTAGCTACAATGTGAGACCCTGTCTTTTAAAAAAAAAAAAAAGTTAAAAAAGTTAGTTCAAGGCCATCCTCTGCCAAAAAATGAATTAGGTTTTGTTTTGTTTGTTTCAAATAGGAACTAGCTTGTTTAGACTATAAAGATATGCACTATTCCCAATCTACATAGTGATTTTATTTTTTTTTAAATTTTTTTCCTTGCACAGGGGCCATGCTAATCTTCTCTGCATCGTTCCAATTTTAGTATATGTGCTACCGAAGCGAGCACTACATAGTGATTTTAAAGTCAGCCTGGGATATGTAGCAAGAGTCTATCTAAAAGAGAGAGGGAGGAGAGAGAGGAAGTGTGTGTGTGTGTGTGTGTGTGTATTGAGAGAGAGAGAAACTTCAGTTTAGAGAAATGAAACCTTTTAGAAGGAAGAATGTTTTGCTTTTAGAGTCCCCTTGGTTCAGAAGGGTGTAAAGTGCTCAGGACATGCTTGCTACCTTCTGACAGTCACTTTGTGGTCTTGGAACAGATGCCTTTCCCATGTGTCACATGTCTGTCACATCTCCCCTTCTCTATGAAGATGCTCTGGTGTGCTGTCCCGTTGTTGAGCAGTCAGGGGACCTGAAGAGAAGTTCCATGTCAGAAAAGTCCTGAGTTGGTTCTAGAATTTAGACAAGTTTTTTGGTTTTTTGTTTGTTTTTTGAGACAGAGTTTCTCAGTAGCTGTGGAGCCAGTCTTGGAACTCACTCTATGAACCAGGTTGGTCCTGGAACTCACTCTATGAACCAGGTTGGTCTTGAACTCACAGAGATCTGCCTGCCTCTGCCTTCCGAGTGCTGGGATCAAAGGTGTGTGCCACCACCACCCAGCGAATTTAGACAGTTTTAATGTCTTTTTACTTACTTATTTATTTATTTATTTATTTATGAATCCGGGAAATGAACCCAGGACCTTACATACCAGACAGAGCTTTGCCACTGAACTGTATTTTCAGCCATGGATTCACACACAGACACACACACACACAGACACACACACACACACACACACACACATACACAGACACACATGCACATTAGAAGGAAAAAAATAAACCTTGCCTGTGCATTCAGAATTGTGAAATTATGACTGTGCAGCCGGACGGTGGTGGCGCACACCTTTAATCCCAGCACTCAGGAAGCAGAGGCAGGCAGATCTCGGTGAGTTCGAGGCCAGCCTCGTCTATAAGTGCTAGTTCCAGAACAGGCTCCAAAGTTACAGAGAAACCCTGTCTCTAGGGAAAAAAAAAGAAAGAAATTATAACTATGGACGGTGTGGTGTTTTGTTTTGTTGAAAAATATCAGTGGCATTTCACCAATCCACAGATTAGTGATTTAAGTGTAACATTATTTGTCTGAATGATATGTGAAATTTATCCCTCCACAGCTTCCGATTCAGTGACATGAATTTAAAAGGATGCACACGCGCATGTACGCGCACAGCACACACACACACACGTTCCTTAGTAGCAAACACTGAGAGATGGAAAAGGGAAGAAAGAAACTTCCTTGCCCCCTTCACCTAGCTATGATCTTAATCTAGTTCCCTGTAGCTCATCCTGCACCTAGCATGCCTGTTCCTCGGTGTGACTGGAAAGCACAGACTCTAGCAGGCACAGTTGGTCCTACTGTGGCACACCCTTCTCAACGTCTAGACTCCAGCTGTATGGCATTTGCATATCTCACTGCTTTTTTTTTTCTTTTAAAAAATCAGATTGATTTCCTCAATTCAGTAATAGTGGACCTTCAAAGAAAGAATCAAGACCTCAAGATGAAGGTGGAGATGATGTCTGAAGCTGCACTGAACGGCAACGGGGATGACCTGAACAGTTATGACAGGTATGACAGAGCTCAGTCCATCAGAAGAGATCTCCAGCAACTGTCAGATAAAAAGATCAGTTGTTGCATGACCACTCTGCCAGGATAAACCACCATACATCTGGCAAGAGTAACTGAGCACAGCAGTCCCAACTGCTCATTCTATTAGATTCAGTTTGTGTGTACCACATGTGTCCCTGGTGCCCTTGGAGGCCAGACGATGCTGAGCCATCTCTTCGGCGTAAACCGCACATTTTATTTATTTATTTATTATGTATACAATATTCTTTCTGCGTGTATGCCTGCAGGCCAGAAGAGGGCACCAGACCTCATTACAGATGGTTGTGAGTCACCATGTGGTTGCTGGGAATTGAACTCAGGACCTTTGGAAGAGCAGACAATGCTCTTAACCACTGAGCCATCTCTTCAGCCCCTAAACTGCACATTTTAGAAAAGTTTGTCCTGCCTTTCCTGGAAACTCTAGATGTGGCTGTCATTAGTCCCTATGTCCTTTTAAATTCTCTGAGTACTGTGACCTCCTGAATTTCTTTTGACCACCTTCCTGATTTTCTGTGTTGACATTTGTAGTGATGACCAGGAGAAACAATCCAAGAAGAAGCCCCGCCTGTTCTGTGACATTTGTGACTGCTTTGATCTCCATGACACAGAGGACTGCCCCACCCAGACACAGGTGTCGGAAGACCCTCCGCATTCCACGCACCATGGCAGCCGGAGTGAGGAGCGGCCTTACTGTGAGATCTGTGAGATGTTTGGGCACTGGGCAACCAACTGCAACGACGACGAGACCTTCTGAGGCCTCGCGGGCTCCGCGTCCAGCAGTTTCCACCAGCACTGCACACGCAGCTTGAGGAGAACTCATTATTTTTTGACCCCTGTCAACAAATCTAAGAAAATATTTTGATCTTCAACACATTACCCTTTCATTTCCCCTCATAAGTTAAAATAATAAATATTTGGTAGGTGGGCTTTTACTTCCATCCTCTTTTTTGGAATTTGAAGATTTCTGACATTGTACCAGGTGCCATTACTCTTTTGTTCCTAGAGAAACATCGTGGGACAAGCTGGACCCTGACAATATCTTATTTAAGAAACTTTAAATTATGCCGTTATTTCTCATATTTGCACTAAAATATTTTCTGGCTACGTCTGTATATTTAGGGTTTTTGTTGATGTTGTTATGCTTTGACACTGGAATGAGCTGCAAACAAAATGTGCCACTTTGCATTTTCATGTACTCATTTGAATAATTTTAAATATCCAAGCTCTCTGCACTACCTGCTCTCAGTAGTGCCTTTTTCCAGGCTTGACCATACATAGGGCGTGATTATAAATCATGAAACAGGTAAAAGGGAGGGGAAAGCCCTAAACTGCTGTGGTGACGTTTATAATCTATATGCTGCACCCACAGACCCAACAGTGGGTTTTCTTTATTGGTTTTACATAATTTCAACCTCTATATATTATATGTATATATATATTTTTAAAGATCTATATTTTGGGAAAAAAGTATATGCAATGTGTCTTCTTTTCAGATTTTTTTACCTTTATGAGAAAGAACACACCTAAACGGCTCGTCAGGATGAGACTGAGTAGGCCAGAAACAGCAGTGTGGCTTCATAACTGTCATGTTCCTTTCCGTGTTGTTTCTGAGCCGCATCTGAGCAGCTGTAAGAACTGCCCAGCTGTTTGGTTTTGTTCCCCTTCTTCAGCAGATAATCTCAGTAGTGCACTAAGCCACCCTACAACAGCTAAACTAACTGATCCTCCTTTATACGTCTGTGGGTTTTTTACTGTATTTTTTAATGAATGTATGATGAGAAATTCAACAATAATTTTGAATTTTCTTATCACAAAAAGATAAAACGAAGGACCTCAACATACAAAAGAGTTTTATCAGTCAGCCTGAGTCTGTCTTCACTTGAATGTTTTTGAGAATATGTAAAAAGGAATTAAATGTACCTTCATGCGACATGCATGATAAGAACTTCCGTCATTGTATATAAGCCTTTGCCATATTCCCCCATCCACTGTGCTTGACAAGTGAACATTAAACAAATCTGTTACCAGTTAACATTTTTGGTTAATAAAACTATAGGAATTATTTCACAAAGAAAATATGTAAAGCAGTATTAAAATCTGAGTTATGTATCTAATAAATGGGTTTGTTTGTTTTTCTGCCAGTGGCAGTAAATATGTTCTTGGGATTATTTGTCATGCTTTTTCTTCATTATTTGAAGGAAGCCCTTTAAATTGGGCAGTGGTGATGCACACCTTTAATCCCAGCACTTGGGAGGCAGAGGCAGATGGATCTCTGTGAGTTTGAGGCCAGCCTGGTCTACAAAGTGAGTTCCAGAACAGCCAGGGCCACACAGAGAAACCCTGTCTTGGGAAGAAAAGAAAGCCCTTTAGACCCAAAGGCAATCCCTTGCCCCCCCCCACCTCTGAGTCACAATGATAGTTCCAAAAAAGCTTTTTCCACTTCAATAAAACAACTTGTTAAACAGCTATAAGAAATGGGTGTGTCCAGCTGGACCCTTTGGAGGCAGCGACAGAAGGGTCATCCTTGGCTACATAACAACTTGGAGGCCAGCCCAAGCTACATAAGACACTGTATAAAAAGAGAGAGAAACAAACCTCACATGTCCTGAGTGTGAGGCCTTGGAAGTATTGATGGAGTGGCCTATAAGAATGTCAGCAGGACCTGGATATATAGTTCAGTGTCACAGTGCTTGCCCAACAGGTGCAAAGACCTGGGTTCAGTTAGCACCACCACACACATACGCACAATGCCAGCAGCCACTTCTGAGGTTCGTGGGTTTGGACATTGTTTGGGAATGGTATGGCTTGCTTGGGAATGATGCTGCCAATCACTGAAGCAAGGAAAAGATACAGAGCTGGGTATAGTGGCAAATGCCTAATCCCTGCATTGGGAAGGAGGCAAGAGGATCAAAAGTTCAAGTTTTCCTTGGCCATATAGCAAGTTTGAGACTAACCCAGGACACAGGAGAGAGAACCTGTCTGGAAAGAAGCTAGAGAGATAGCTCAGTCAGGAAGTGTGTTTGATCCCAGAATCCACAGAGGTGAGCTTGGTGACTCACACTTGCCATATTTGTAGAGGAGACAGACAGGCAGGCCCCTAGTGGCTGACAGCTGACCCAACCTACTTAGCAAGTGAAAGAATTTTACAAAGGTGGATGGTACCTTAGGAATGACACCTGAGGTTGTCCTATATTCTGAGCATGTATCTGCACCTGCGTGTGCACACACATAAATACCCAGCGCTAGTAGTCTTTGATCTCTGTAAGGTACCACTGTTAGCCAGAAGGCACGATGCTGCACATTCAGGTAATATAGTGGATTTTTGAGATTGGAGAGAGACAGGTGGAGACATGTTGGTGTGAGCCCCAAGCATTATATAGTAAATGTACAGCTGACAGATTGATCATTAGACAAAGTCATGGGTGTGCATTTTAATGAGGAACCCCATTTGCAGAGCTTTGGGAACACTTGTCTTTTGAACAGTCGCTGCTGACTCTGTAGAACTCTTGTAAAGCCATGGCTTTACCCCCCTTCCATAATGGGATTAATCCCAAAATATCCCAGCAGTGTATAAAAAATTCTTTAAACGTGGCTGATCCCACACCATGAGGTCCTGGTGTGAAAGCATTCACTCAGCCAAACCTTTGTCAAATTCTTATTAACAGGACTTATTGACAGGAAAGGGATCCTGAGCAGGAGGTATTGAGCAGGGGAGACAGCATATCTACCCTTACTGATAAAGAGGTCAGGGTATACCTAAAAGCTCCAACAACCAACTCAGGAGAGTGTAATCTACCAGAACAAGCTATTAAAGTCTGTACTTTCACCTTTCATTTGGCACAAGGTCTTAGTCTAGGAAATTAACTATATTGACCTTTACCTTTAATATACAAAAAAAAAAAAAAAAGAAGCTTGAGTTGCTAAACCAGCCCCAGAGAAAGGAATTCTTTCTCACCTGTATCAACAGATACAGCAGCCTGATGCTTAGCAGCGGGAGGGGCGGGGGCGCATCCTAATCCTCCTGGTATCTACAGGGGAACTTCACAATCATGCCCATTTTGAGACATAAGGTGCCTACTTTGTCAGTCTGCATCCATCTTGTTTGTCCTAAGAAATGCATGCTTGGTACCATTGTTACCGCCTACGGAATGGTAACTGTTTGTGTGGGTATATAAACTGGAAACCTTGTGGGACTGAGAGGAACATCGAAGAGGAACATCAAGAGGAAGCCAACAAGAAAGCATCGGAGAGATCATAGAAAGAATAAATGGGATGTGATAAAAACTTATGTGAATTTATTTACCCTCAGACCTTTTTTGTCAGTTTTTGCCTTCTATAATGGTCCTAAATCCTGAGAGGTTTGCGGGGGCTGGCATCCCAGCATTACCCTCAATAACATGCTATCCTTACTGAGGTCGGTAGATTGCCACAAGTTCAAGGCCAGCCTGGCCTTGATGATGAGACCCTGTCTCAAGGTGGGGGTGGGAGGCACAAAGATTGAAAATAGCTTCAATCCAACAGAGTGTCCTAGAAGACTGATCACACAGCATCTTGGAAGAATACTGGGCTTCCAAGTGACTTCATGAAACACCATCAAACTATTCTGTTCACACCAGAACACGAGAGACACAGTTTATTCCCTGTTGGTGGAGGTTTTTGCCCGGTCCCACAATAAACACACAGAAACTATATTATTTGCAATACTGTTTGACCAATAGCTTAAGCATATTTCTGGCTCTTTTTTTCAAAATAAATGCAAAATGTAATGAAAATGGGTACAAAGTGGCTGGAAAGGAACAGAAACAAGTCAGTGGGTGGAGGAGTAAAGGGATTAACAACTGAAGTGATTTTAGAGATGCATGGTAACGTACTAGACAAGCAAGCTGGCTTTCCTGGGCTGCTTACCCAGTATGAGCCCCAGATAAGTGGAGTTCCCCTCCCACAGGAACATATACAGGGAGAGTTTGTACCACCACAGGGCGCCTGGGTTCAGGCCACCAAGCAAGAGGGAGAATACATCTTGGTTGGCCTGGGATACAGCTGCTTGATGGCTGTTGGAGTTTTTTAGTTTTCTTTTTTTAAAAAATTTATCTATTATGTATATAGTATTCTTCCTACATGTGTACCTGCACCCCAGAAGAGGGCACCAGATCTGATTATAGATGGTTGTGAGCCACCATGTGGTTGCTGGGAATTAAACTCGGACCTCTGGAAGAAGAGTCAGTGCTCTTAACCACTGAGCCAACTCTCCAGCCCTGGTTTGGTTTTTTTTCTTAGTGCTGGGGAGAGAGATCAGTCCCCAATCATGCTAGGCAAGTTGTCTAGCAATGAGTCACATGTCTAACTTTTTTTTTTTTAATTTAACATGGGGTCTTGCTAAGTGGCCCAGGTTGACCTTGAACTTTTTGATTTTCCTGGCTCAGCCTCCTTTGAGTACCTAGGATTTTCACGATTATTAACAGGATCTTTTCTCTCTCGGAAGTCCAGGTCTGAACTGTAACTTATACGGTGACTCTACCACAACACGAAATGGCTCAGGGGAAATGTAACAGTAAATGTCAACATGATCCTAGACAGTCCCATGAAGCCAACAAGTGACAGGGAAGAAAGAGGAGGGAGTCCCAGCTGGATGTGGGGGTCATAGCCTCAAGCGGCAAGCTTCACGTTTTTCTTGCACACCAAGGATTAATTTAACCTCAGCTAAAGATAATGAAATTCCACACAACAGGGGAAAAACTTGTCATGATTGACAGGATCCATGGGGGCAACTTAGACCCTAGAAAATGTAAGTCAAGTCTCCCCAGGGATGCCAGCAAGCTTTGGGCCAAAACGTGGGCACTGACCATAACAGCCTTCCAGTACGCCCGAGTTGCGGGTGCCGAGCTGCAGGTGACAGTGGTAGAATTTGTTGGCTCCAGAGTCCCCAGCATGGACTATGAGCCAGCAGTCTTATTTTATACAACAGTGGACCTGTTGGGTCATCTTAGTCTCAAAATAGATTGGCTAGGAGAGGCTGCTCTGAAGGTCAGGTTTGAACCTAGGTGAATACACCTTCAGATATACAATTTCCCTAAGAGGAGCCGCTGGCCTGCAGTTCACCTCTGCCTCAAACACAAAGTTCAGCATCAGCTCTGCCATGACCAGAGACGGACTAGCTGTGAAGCTCACAAGGCTTCCAGGGCCTGAGCTGAACGTTTTGTTCTTTTGCTTAAACAGCCTCTGTAAATAGTTTGAGAGTCCAGCCTTGTAGCCAGGATCCACCCTGGTCATGGAGGATTTCTTCCTTAGAGCATCAGCAAATGCTATTGTCCTGCTGTGTGGAGCCTCTCACAGCACAGGCGGCCTTTGAGGAGGTATGCATGCCACAGTGCACTCACACCAACCTTCCCCTCCAGCTCACTCGGAATGAGCCATCATCTCAGGACAGGAAGAAGCCAGACTGGTCCTGGACAAATAGTGTGGGACCCTTACCCCTTATTCTCAAAGGGGCAAGAAGAAATTTCCTAGCAGAATGTTTTCCCAGGAAGATAGTGGCCTTCCCCTCTCCCACCCAGGAGATTCCGAGCACAAGGTCACTTAGCTCAGCCCAGCCAGCCACCTGGTACAGGCGGATAAAGATGGCCTAACTCAAGAACAGTGGCCTTGCTCCAAAAACAAAGAAAAAGCTGACTTAATAGAATGTGAGGGAGCAAAAGTCCTTGCACCCGTGCCAAAGCATCTTCAAAGATTCTCTTTGTAGTTATGCCTTTAAAAGCTTACCCCACAGAGGAGATACAACTCCTCTCTACCTTGTTGTAACGGGGATGGAGATGAGTTCCAAACATGTTTGTATTATGCTGATTAAATCTTGCTTATTACAGTCTGGGCCTCTCTGGTGATCTCTCTCTGGTGGTCGTAATCTGGGCACAATAATAGAGGCAGGCCTGGCAGAAAGGGGGAAATGGTGGAGGGAGACGGGGGTGTAAAAACCTGAACGGGGAAAAAAAAAACCAAAAACCTGAATGGAGCATGAATCAGTGTGGTCCCCTCAGACTCTCAGTGAGAGGCCCACTGGGTGATCAGTTCCTTGGGATGCAGTCTATCTTTCCGGGAAGCCCAGTATCCAGCTGGTGCTGCACCAACACTGAGGACCATAGTTTTCACCCCATTTTA